TTTACAGGAAACCTATTTTACATATTTGTCTCGTCTGTATGCTTCTTTCGATTGGGATGGGATTTAGTCTTTTGATTCCTCTAACTTTTGGGCGCATATATAAAATACGATTGAAGTTATCTGAGTTAAGAGTTTTTTAACAGACCAGCATTACTAGTACTACTGATAAGTCTACTTCTTGCGACCATCGTTGCAAGAAGTTTGATTTAAAGGCTCACTAACAAAATAACTCAAAAAATACTTTATTTTGTATCATGATATGTTTTAATCAGCTTAAAATGGTCAGTTCGCAGTGCATCATCATATACTAGCTAATTTAAAATAGTTAATTAATAGAACATTTATTCAAACATAAGATAACATTTGATAACAAATTCAATGAATCTTCTATTAACGGATGAAAAATTAGCCTATCACTAATGAATTTTAGACCCAGTGACTAAAATCATCAGAGTAAGGAAGGCTTTATTCAAAGCTTCAAACCAGTGTGGTTACTGGAAAGCTATGCCCAAATTAGCAACTAAAATGTATACATTGCTTGAATACCCGTAATTTCATTTTACAGGATAATAATTTTCTTTTAGCCTAGATTAAAAATTAAAAAAAGACCGAAAGTATATCTAGAAAATAGGATTCTCGCTAGATCGAAAGAATTATGTTTATATCATCTCCGAGAAATAAGTAAAAGAGTTTTAGTTATTACATAAAATGACTTTCAGAAAATTAGCCAAACTATCAAACATTAGATACCAGTCTAGTCTTTCTTATTAAGGATATTTTTTTCATATTGCATTAAAAAGCTTCTTTCTTGATAATAAATTATGCATATATTTGTTGAGTGACAAAGAGGCCTTTAATTAAGACGAGCTTTCACCAAACTTAGAAGGCCGTGGCTTTCTAATTGTCCCATATTTTTAGACAATAAGATTCCTTTAATTTCTGTTATTTTCTCGCTCCACTCTTCACGCCTCTGAAAAGGTTTGTCTTTGCAAAATACTGCATAATTCAACAAAGTAGAATAGGTAATAAATAACACAAATAGGGTCAGAAATACGAGCTCAATTTACAGTTCTCTTTTAATAAGTATGAATAGTCCACACATTGTGTTGAAGGTTAATATGTTAATTTAATAGATTCATGTATCCATACACGAAATAGTCATAGTTTCAGGGTGTTATATTTGAATGTTAAAATTTCCAAATGCGACAAGGCCTATCAGCAAAAAGAATGTCCATTGGCTAGAAAGTATCCATAAGAAAGCAAGAAAAAAATTATTTTTGCCAAAAATTAAGTATATGCAGATAAATACTGCTACTGCTGAGAGGCGCTCATTTAATTTTTCATTTAAACAGAACTATATATTTTTTCTCAATCGGATTTGTTTATTTTCCTGTGAAATTTAGTGTTAAATAGATCGAGTTCCCTGATATGTTGTTCATCATGTTAGCTAGTAAATATGGAACGCAAGTGGCTCGTTATGGCACGGCAATTAAGATGAACATAATTAACGAGACGCCAAATCTGGCAAGAATACGAGTGAGCCACTCGGATTGACATTACCATTTAAACATGGAATATGATTCTAAATGAAATGAAATAGAGGTAATAGTGCATTAATAATAATGACAGAAAATTGCTGAGACTGTGCCAAAATTATAGTTTAAATGTTGTCTCGCGAATGTTTGTCCTGTATGCCAGTTATATTAAGCATAATGTCAAAAAGGATATGTAAATTACAATTCCTTTTCTACAATGCACTAATAGACCTTATGGGCGCAAATGTATAAATGTGCGGCTGCAGCCAACTGGATCAGTAGATTTTTGCATTTATCTTAAAATATATGCAGCTACACAATTGAATTTGACGGAATCTACTTCTTTCATGAGCTAAAGTAAGGAGGCAGCTGTAGAGGAATTTATGACTTTTCTTTATAACTTGGCCTAGCATAAATCTACTTACACTGCAGGCATTCCTCGGTTAAGCTGGAAAAAAAGATATAGCCTCTTAATTGTTTAACTGCTGTCAAGTCTAATTTTACTCTAAAATATTTACTCTTCTTGCTCACAATATGGAATTATTGTGCTGTATGGTTGTCGGTGTAAAAAGGGCAGAAACGCAGCCCTCCAGTCACAGGGGATTTAAACCTCTGTTTCTCTAGTTACTTTCATGCATTGCTCCGAGGCGAGCATTGTTAAAATGCCAAGTTTTGGGAGAGGATTTTATTGTCTATTAGATGACTCACTAAGCAACAGTAATTGGGTTTCAGCGAGAACTCTGGTGCCTCTTTGTAGAGCTGGAATGATGTGCCTAAAGGCTTCATAGACATATCTCCTCACAAGAAAAGAAGGCATTTAATTTAATCTGCCCTAGCCTGATTTAATTTGGGAGATTCAAGTTTTCGCAGCTTCAGAGATAGGCATCACATTTCTAACGGCTTCGAACAAAAACATAGTTAATATGGCCTGAACTTCCAAGTAAACTTCATCTAAAACAGGTCAAGACAAATCATCACTCGACTTCCGGTGAGATTAATCTACAAATCTGTTCATCACACACTTTCAGACAAAATAAAAGTAAACTAAATCAGGCATAAACTCCAAATCCATTTAACTGTAAAACTTTTTCCCAAACTGACTTCCAATTATAATTAATTTGGACTTACCCTGGCAGCCAGACGGCACTCAGCTACTCGGTGGTTGAACTTGTTGCCAACGGCCTTTTTTGACTTGATGCCGCTATGCACAACCACAAATGCAGCGTCCGAAGGCAGTGGTACTGGTCGGGCTGTGACGAACGGTCTCGTAAATTCTATATGCATCGCCTTCACCATTTGAGGGGTAACAGAAATTGTAATTGACAAATCAAGGGATTATCAGACGGGACTGCACGCATTGTGATCGTTATCATTTACCCAAACTACTCAAAAAAGCTTGTCACTAATCAACAATCGAATAAAAAGTCGACCCTCCTCAACTCATTATTGGAGGTGTAACTATAAAACCTTGGAAATAAATCGAGACTAAGTATGGGTCTTAAAGCGCTAATTATTTTTTAGTATTATACCTTCATTTTTTAATCAGATTTATGCAAACTCTATAATCTAAATGCATAAAAATGAGTAGACTAAGAATTGTAAAAGGTTTTAGGGGCCCATACTTAGACGAGAGTCTACCTTATCTAATGGTTTATTCGACCATTGCCTTGGTAAGGATAAAATTCACTTTTACTCAGCTTATACTCATGCGAGGTGAAGAGAAGCTGCACGTACACTCCAAAGGAAATTATGTAAAACAGCCAGGCAACGGAAACGAAATACAACAGGATTTTGACCCTACGAAGAATTTTATTTTACAAAAGTACAAAAATGTTGTCTGCAAATGGCACCTTCTGGTAATATTTCCTTGTGGAGTAAAACGAAAGCGTACGATTGACTTCTAGGATGCGAACAGATACCCTCAAGGCATCACTTCCGCCATCCAATAGATACTAGTTAGTGACAAAGCAAGGCTCTAGTCAAGTTTCATAGTTTCACTTAAAATACAAACCATATATTCCGATTCAAGCACTCGTGGCAATTTTGAAACATACTCACATCGAATAGAAGTGACGTCGTCAACAGCAGCGGTAAACATGATTAAGATGCATTTACCATATTTCGTTTAAGGTGATGAAGAAGTTTTAGTTGAATTTTCCCACAATCATACGAATAGGCCTCACATTCGCACTGGATTTCACGGAGCCTTGCTTCCGAGGAGATGCTTTCGTCCAGAGTGGACTGCAGTTTCCACCCCGCCTCAACCGGCCGCGTCAACAGCCCCAGCGGGATTCGAATCCAGGTTAGGATAGCGCAGCGTGTAATATGAACACGTTAACCAGTACGCCACACTGCCATGAGTGAACTTGGGTCACAGGGCAGATATGAATTTCAAGGAAGTACAGACATTTTTCCGTATCCCATTCTTTGATGAGATTGTGGACGAAATTGGGTGAATACGTGTGATCTGTTGCTAGCCTCAAAAACCTACTTTTTAAAAACAAGTAATGTAGTCGATTGCTATAGCAAATAAAATTTTGCTTCATTAACTATCCCATCTCATAATGAGATGTCAAGAAATGCCTGGCCCTCCTTGAAATTCATATCTGCCCCGTGACCGAAGGGCACTCGTGGAAGTTTGGTGTTGGGCTTATACGATGCACTACCACAACCTGGGCTCGAGTCCCTCAGGGGATGCCGATGAGACTTAGACAAAGTCAAATCTACTGGACGAGATCACCTTATGGGATGTAAAGCTATGTGAAATTCAATGGAAACATGAAGCCTGATTTTGAGAAAATCCAAATACTAGTCCTTCAGCATTTTTAAGGAAATTGGGTGAATACATCTCATATATGTGATCTGCTTGTAGTCGTTAACTCATATTTATTAAAGAATAATAAATATATATTTGCTTCATCGGAAATTTAAATATAAATGCGATTGTCTTGAAGTTCGTTTCCACTCACCATCGATAGGAAATATTTTAGAAGCAGGACTAATTGAAATTCTGTAGCGTCATGGGTTAGACTCCATTATTATTTCCCAAATCATCTTAAGGCGTAAAAGGCTACATGACTTTTATCCAGGAATAGCTAATAATTTAAAATCATGCGAATATACAATATGTACTCAGTATCGGTACATTGTGATAGAGAAAGAAGAAAATTTAGCATTTATCCAAGCAACGATTTCTATTGAAAGCCAATCCCGGTGGATGTTGTAGAAACGCAGCAAAATATAGACTCCCAATAAAGCGTTTTATATCGAGTGATTCATATTACCAGAGTAAGGAAAGGCTCTGGGCAAGTTGTTTAGCTTCATTAAAAGCTCGAAACAAATGTAGTTGATTAAGAGTAATGCGCAAATTTGCAACCAAAATATAAATAAAATATATAAATTTAGATACTCGTAATTTTACGCTAAAAGCTGTAGAATTTCTTTCAGCCAGGTTTACAATAAAAAAAGGCCAAAAGTGTACCTAGGAGATAGGATTCTCGCCAGATAGAAAGAATTATGTTTATGTTATTTGCTAGAACCAATCAAGAGGGTCCTGGTTAATACATAAAGTGACTTTCAAGCGCAAATATGCCCATGGAAGTCTCGGCAGATTGTTTATTGGCATTAAAAGCAGTCAAAATGTGTAATTAAACTAAGGTACTTTCTTTAGTTGCGTTTTCATGAGTTTCAAAAGATATTAGATGCCCAGGAAGCTATCTATACATCCTGTCCTCTGAACGGAACAAAAAAGACTTTACGAATGCATAGTCCTATAACCCGCATCCAGTGCTTTTTCGATGTGTATAATGCTCGTAAATATTAAAAAAGGTGTAAAAATATGTAGATAAAAAGAGGGAATTGCAGAACAAAGGCATCAGAATAAATGAAAAATAGTTATATTAATAAAAATCAATGTAAGCGCCCTTTAGCTGAAAAGTTTTCTACAATAGAATAGACAAGAGTTAATGGACAAATGGTAAAATAATGTTTATTTTTCTTATAAGTAGAGTTTAGAGACTACTTAAACGAATTAGGGTGAATACATCTATTATAAAATAATATTTAGACTTTAAATATACAATTATATATTCGCTAACTGAATCAATACCACTTTGAGCCTACAGATTTTGGGTTCTTTTGTATACCAAATGTTGAGTATACTTGGTGCATTAGTCTAGTTAATCTCAATAAGATGGCAAAATGGCTTAGAAGATATGAAGAAAAACTGGGTTTCGAGCAAACACTTCCGTATATTTGGCCAAAAGTCTGGGCACGAAAGGAATTTTCTCAGAAAAAAAAGTAACCCTCTTTAATATTATTAAGTCTGACAGTTGGCTGCACAGCAAAAGTTCCTCGAGAGACTTCATTGCCTAATTTCCGAAGAAAAAGCCCTGACCAAAACTGCGTAAGTCTGTAAACAAGTATCATTGAGATAATGTGATATGAGCTTGTAAGCATGTAAGTCAAGTTACGAAAGCACTTGTCCTAACCTTTCAGTCAAGGGTCATTAACGTTTAACCCCCCAAAGAAAGGCAAGACTGGGGTTGAGTAATCTGACATGTCTCGTTTGGTTGATGAGCTTACTCTAACATGTTGGACGAGTGTAAGTGAAGTTAGAAGCCTCAATCTATCAATCAAGCATAAGTAATTCCTACTTAACTTTCTACCACCGTTTCTCACATTCAACGTATTTCCTAATAATTTCAATAGCCTCTCTTATCTTTCTTTTAACCACAGACGTACCATAATCAGCAAACCTACTAGTTTGATACCATTTTATTTCATGTTCAGTTTCAGTGATGCGTTCGGCCACTTCTGACCATTGGATCCAGCTACCATTGCAAGCATTTTAATGTTCTGCCAATCTTTGTCGGATAGGTCGACATGTCTCACCTACATAACATCGACCACATGAGCAAACAATCTTGTAGCAGCCGGATCTCGATAATGGGCCATATTTATCTTTAAAAGATGACATAACAGAAGAAAGTGTGAGGGTTTCTTTCAACACTGTTTTTATGCCACAAATCTTTACTAATTGGCCTATCTTTTTTGAGAGTAGGCATGACGGCAAATTTAGGACACGAGAAAAGGTCACAGTCTGTTTCTCTTTGACTAAATGGTCTCCGTCTGAAAATGTATTCCTCAGTAGAGAGATATTATTCTCAAT